GCTATGGCATGCATATATCTTTTATTAATATTTGTGTCCTATTTCTTCAGGATAGTTTCATAAAAGTGAAGTATCTGCACATATATATATACACTTTTATTTTTCATAGATACTAAAAAATAATGCACTAAAAATTAAGCAGCTATTTATTTTTCTGTCACAATTGTAATAGAGTATGTGACTAAACCTTTTTATGTAATGAAGATTGAATTCTTTGGTAGATTTAGTCATCTTTAGTTACCTTTCATCAATTTTTCAAGTAGAAAATCCTGTCATCTGAAAATAATATCTCACTGCGATGACCAGAAATTTCCTGATATAACATCTATATTTATGTTTGTGTCTCTCTATTTCTCTGTCTCACTCATCGCTGACATACACACCCATATGTACATGTATATTTGTCAGCATGGCAAAATGATAAGTGTTGGGAGAATTTATAGGTATAAGATACCAGAGGATTTGTGAAATTCATATTGGAATCCTGTTATTGATGGGATTTTACCTTTGAGTTGATTGCTTATTTGGAATCAGGAGCTGAGAGTCTGAAAGGCTGACTATAAGGTGTCATGTAGGAGTTTTAGAACTCTGAAAGAGTTTCAGAAGATTCTGAGGGCTATCAGAAAAAAAAAAAGGAGTCCAATTAGATAAAATTCAACATCCATTCATGATAAAAATTTTTACCAAAGTGAGGATAGAGGGAACTTATCTCAACACAATAAAAGCTATTTATGACAAACCCACAGCCAGCATAAAAGTTGAAAGCCTTCCTGCTAAACTCTGGAACAAGAGAAGGATGTCTACGCTCACCACTTGTATGCAACATATTATTGGAAGTCCTAGTCATAGCAATCAGAAAAGAAAAAGAAATAAAAGAGATCCATACTGGAAGAGAAGAGGTAAAATTGTCACTATATGCAGATAAGATGATAGTATATATAGAAAACTTGAAGGACTCCACATAAAAACTACTGGAGCTGATGACGAAATTCAGCAGGTCAGCAGGATACAAGATTAAGGTACAGAAATCTATTGCATTTCTTTACTCTAACAATGAAATATGAGAAAAAGAAAGTTAAGAAAATTCCTTTTAGAATTGCATCAAAAAAATAAAATACTTAGACATAAACCTGAGCAAGTAGGTGAAAGACTTATAGCTAATAAGTATAAAACACAGATCAAGGAAATTAAAGATGATTTAAAGAAATGGAAAGATGTTCTATGCTATTGGATTGGAAGAATTAATAGTGTTTAAATGGCCATATTGCTCAAAACAATCTACAGATGTAATTCAATCCCTATCAAATTATCCAGGATATGTTTTACAGAAGTAGAATAAATATTCCTAAAATTTACATGAAATCACACAAGACCCAAAATTGCCAAAGTAATACTGAAGAAAATAAAGGAAGCTGGAGGCATAACCCTCCCAGAATTCAGACAATACTACAAAGATACTGTAATCCAAAGTCTATGATGCCTGGTACGAAAACAGACATGTGGGTCAATGGAACAGATTAGAGAGCCCAGAATTAAACCCACACACCTATGGTTAATTAATCTTCGACAAAGGAGACAAGAATATACAATGGAGAAAAGACACTCTCTTTGGCAAGCGGTGTTGTGGAAGCTGGACAGCCGCGTGTAAATCAGTGGAGTTAGAATACTCCCTCACACTATAGACAAAAATAAACTCAAATTGGCTAGAAGACTTATAATACAGGACACCATAAATCTCCCAGAGGAGAACATTGGCAAAAGATTCCCTTACATAGATCATAGCAATGTTTTCCTAGGTCAGTCTCCCAAGGCAATAGAAATAAAAGCCAAAATAAACAAATGGGACCCAATTCAACTTACAAGCTTTTGCATAGCAAAGGAAACCATAAACAAAACAAAAAGACAACCTACAAAATGGGAGAAAATATTTGCAAACGATGCGACTGACAAAGGCTTAATTTCCAAAATATACAAACAGCTCATAAAACTCAATAAAAAATAAACAACCCAACTGAAAATGGGCAGAAGCCCTAAGCAGATATTTCTCCAGTGAAGTCATACAAAGGCCAACAGGCACATGAAAAGATGCTCAATATTGCTAATTATGCAAGAAATGCAAATCAAAAGTACAATGAGGTATTGCCTCACACCAGTCAGAATGGCCATCATTAAAAAGTCCACAAATGATAAATGCTAGAGAGGGTATGGAGAATAGGGAACCCTCCTACACTGCTGTTGGGGATGTAATTTGGTGCAGCCTTTATGGAAATGAAGATGCATATTCCTTAAAAAACTAAAAATGGGCTTACCATAATATCCAGCAATTCTACTCTTGGGCGTATATTCAGAGGAAACTCTAATTTGAAAAGATACATGCACCTGAAATGTCCACAGCAGCACTATTTACAACAGCCAAGACATGGAAGCCATCTAAATGTCCATCAACAGATGACTGGATAAAGAAAACATGGTATATATACACAATGGAATATATTCAGCAGTAACAAATGAAATCCTGCCACTTGTGACAATATGAATGGACCTTGAGGGTATTATGCTGAGTGAAATAAGTCACACACACAAAAAACAAATAGTGTATGATTTCACTCATATGTGGAATATAAAAACAAAATAAAGAAGTAAAGAAGTGAACCCAAACAAAAACAAACACATAGATAAAGGGAACAGAATAGTGGTTACCAGAGGAGAAGGGGCAGGGGAGAGGGTGAAATGGGTAAGGGGATCAACTGTATGGTGATACATGAAAACTAAATTCTTGGTGGTAAGCATCATGCAGTGTATACAAAAGTAGAAATACAACGTTGTACACATAAACATATTTGCATAATGTCAAATCAATGTTACTTCAATAAAACTAATTTTAAAATTTTTTAAATAAAAATTAATTTAAAAAATTTAAAAGATAGTGACTGTTTTCCACATCACTCTAAGCCCTCTATCTTAATACACTTTTGACATAACAAAGTACTATAGAAATTCTTGCCCAATGATGAAAGGTAATGAATGAACTATCCTTGTCACCATTATTACAGCCTTTTCCTTTCTTTAGTTTTATTTGTAGTGCCAGATATTACAGGAAGATAAGTATGGGGAAGTACCCATTGGGTGACTATTTCCAAATAAATTTTGAGTAACATCAGCAAGATGGCACGTTGGTGGTTCCCAACTTCAGGCCACCTCACAGAAAGACCAACTAGCATCTATCTATAAGCAAAATGCCTCTGTGAAAAGTCACAGAACCCCGAAATGGAGCTGAAGCAACCTCCTGAACCACAAAAACTGAGAAAACCACATTAGAAAGGTAAGAGAAGTGGTTTCTCTTTGACTAGATTGCTCCTCCCTTAGACCAGCACAATGCTGCCTCCCCCTGGGCCTCCAGTTTCTCCAGTGGGAAAAAGAGAGCCCAAGGTGGACATCCAGCACACGCTTTGAGAGTGCCACTTTGGTCTAGCCTCACAGGAGCACTGGAGGAGTCAGTGGGGCCAGAGAAACAGGCATCAGCTAGAGACAGAGGCAGAGTAGGACTCACAGGGCACAGCATGCATGGATCTTGCCGGACCAGTTTCTGCAGCCTGAGCAAAGATCCCAGACAGCAGCTCTGCCCATCTGCAGAGCTGAGCCAATGGCCCAGTCTGGGCAGGAAGGTCAGACAGCACTTCTGTCTTGTTTGGGTTCCCAGCCAAAGGGCCCTCCACCTTAGAGCCCATTCGGCAGCCCCTATCTAACAGGGAAGAGAGGCAGCAGCCCCTTCTCAAGTGTGCCATGGAACATGTAATCACTGTGGAGGAAAATAAATAAGAGTGAATAAACCCTAGAAGAGGAAAGTGATTAGCACCCACTACTTTCCAGCCAGATTGTCGTGGTTCAGCTCCTGGCTCTCCCACTGAAAAGTTGTGTGATCTTCAACAAGCTATGTAACAGAGCATTCCCTTGGTTATTTGGTGAGAAAATGGGTATAATAGCATGGTAGGCGGAATACAGCCCTTACACTCTGCCCCCAACAGAGGCCTACATCCCAATATTAGGGACTTGTGAACCCGAAAGTATGTTAATTTACCCAGTAAAAAGGAAATTGCAGCTGTGATTGAGGATCATGCCATGAGTAGATTATATTCAGTTACCCACACCTGGGCCCAATGTATTAACAGTGCTTGTCAGGGGGCAATGGATGTGACTCCTCGGGAGGGGATTCTGGGGACGGGAGGGGCGCGTGAGAAAGG